CGGTGAATATAGCTTAACAATGTATTCAATGTATTCAAAATGTGATGCAAATTATCCCAATATAAGATAAGTAGATTTAAATAGGTACTAACAATTTAGTTAGTTTATAATAAATTATAAGTTAAAATATATGCTTATAAAATATATTAGATTAACCCGTCACTGGTATCACTAAATGTTGTATTATAATTCGTAATAGGTATCGTGTAAGCGTTGGGCTAACATTATCATTTTTTCATACTGTGAATTATTTAACAAATTTAGAATAGTAAAACAAAGATAAAAATTTTTATCGAGTTATATTCTACAAATATTTGATTTTTAATAACAATTGTCATTTTTTAAATTATCTGTACAAAAAATTAAAAATAAATAATTTTTGATAGAAAAAATATATATACTCGTTATTTCCACTTTCAAAATTATTTAATATACAAAAATAAAAATCGACATGTATATAATCAGAATCATTAAACATATGATTATCCTCAGCCTCACTTAACCATGCGGATATTTCTTTACAATTTTTGTCATATTTTGTGTATAAAAATAATACGAAAACAATAATAACATGTTTAGTATCGTGCGAGTCGGACGCTAACATAATTGCTGATTTCAAAATTTAACGGATCATTATAACCACAAATAGATGTTTTTGTACTGGATTTTTGGTTATTTTAACTTAATATTATTTGGATAAGAGGTATATGGAGTTTTAAAACAATCAATTTTTATTTGAAAAATTTTAGTGAAATGCTAACACTGATAGCGATGACGAGTTAAGAAAAGCATGTAATTATTTTTTCATAAGCTATTATAAATATCTAGTTGATCAAATCTTAATTTTTTGTTATTTTAAACTAAAATACTTTCTACATTTACATTTACAGTTTCTTTACACTTAAAATAATTTTTCTAGGCTTACTTTTCTAAAAGGAATTTCATAAACTATATTTTATTTATAAATTTTACTTAAAATAATAAAGAAATAACATATATTTTTAAAACTGCAATAAATAAATCAATTGCTATGTACTATACCATCTATACCTACTGTTTAGTAATATAACAATGAAATAACTTAGAAAACATATTATTTTATTTAATATTTTATAATACAAGAAAACAGTTCATAAGATAAAAATGTAAAACATCCAGACAACCATCATTATACTATATTAAATTCCTGTATAAATACTTTATAAGAAAAACGAGTTAAAATACTGTGTATCAGTTGATAAGTAAAACGTCTTTTGGAGCAAAGTTTTAAATAAAATGTTATAATTTAAATTAACAAGATTAATTTATTGCATCAAAACATAAATAAAAAAGATAGAATTTTTATTTTATATAAATTTATATAATTGTTTACAATATAAATTGATAATAATTTTATAAACCAAACGTTAAGATATTAAAAAATAAATAATGTGTAAATCCATTGATAATTTTACTTATTATCCTTAATTCTAAAAATTAATAAATCATTACATCATAAAATCGAATACCTGTTACCACTTTATCCAAAAATTGTAAAACCTCTGATACTTTCTAACTCAGTTAATACTGCAACGCGTTTTTACACGTCTTTAAAAATAAATGTAAAACATAAAAAATAACCTTTTTAAAGCACAATCTGCATTCAATTTTCAATCAATGTAGACGTTACATTCTGCATGAAACTTTTTGTTCCATTTAACTGTTCCAAAATGTACTAAATCCAGGATAACTGTAAAACCAATGGTTTCCTTGTTCCGTTTAAAATTTAAAAGGAAAATAAGTATAGACAGGATCCAGTGACCGAATAATAATATAATTTGAGCTTGGTCTTTACAAAAATGGTCAAGATTTTGTTCACATATCTAATAGAAAATGTTATAATGTTTTTCAATTTAAAAAAATAAAAATAAAATGTTGTATATATATATATACGAAAATACTGAATCATTAACATTTAAATATTACAGTAACTGAATATTACTCTAAAGTATTAATTGAATGAGCATATTATTATTAAATACAGTTTAAGATCACATATTCTAAACACAAATTTTAAAGAAATTAAGATATACACATTATTGTAATATCAATATAAACAAATGCATTTGTTAAAATCTTTAATTATAAAATAAACACTAATTCCATTCATATAATACATTAATATACTGATACAAGTAGAAATGTAAATGTTTAATTTAACTTAAGTTAAATGTAAAAATAAAAATACGAAAAAAAAATCGTTTGAGAAAAAAATGCATTACTAAACAAATATTTTCAAACATTCTATTCGACTGTAGTGTTAAAAGCTTTTTCAAAAAGTTTCATCAATAGATGACTTTTTTTCTCAAGTCATCAGTCTCTAAAATTTCAAATTAATACATATATATATATATATATATTATTATTATTATTTTATGTAATATATACTTTTTTTTTATTTTAACTTTACATCACTTGATCTTATTGTAAACTGTAAAATGTATTGACTAATTAATTAAAAATAAAAATAAAAATTATTTTTAATTTGACAAACTATTTTTGTTTTAAGTCAATTTTACTTTTAAAAATTAATAACACTGATCACTTATTTTTAACCATACGAATAAAATATATAATACGAGCTATGGTTGTACAATTTTTTTTTCTTGTTTTCATAAAGTCACGTTTGTAAATTCAGTGATTTTTTTTTTTTTTATAACTCACTATAGGAAATTGAGTTTTTCAACAATTCATTAGTTCAGTATTTGTTGGTTTAATTAATGTTTACTGAATTTATTGATGTGATTCCCTCTCAAAGTGTATAATGAACAGTAATTAAAACGGATAACAACTGCTGATGGTAAAAAATAAAAATAAAAAATTATAGTATTAAATCATTTGCATAGAACATGCATTTTTGTTTACTTTTTATTAAAAATATAATTAATGGACAACTTGAATACTGTTGATGAATTAGTTCCATAGTATCAATGAGATTTACTGTAATAGTCAATTACTACAAAGAGTTAATTTTAAATTCAAAACTCTTTAATTATTACTTAAGTACTTGCAAAAAAAATTGACGAATTCTAACTTTTCCGTTTATAATGCATTTTTATTAGCTTATTGTGTCAAAATTGCCAATCACTAAAACAACATTTTTCTATTAATTTATAATATTAGGTTAAATTAATTTTACAAAACTCTCATGAATGTTATATATTATTTAAATTAAAAGTTTATTTTGCCAGGTCAACATCTTTTATTATACAATTAAACGATATTCTACACACTATTATTGTACTATTTAATTTGATCAATAACAATAACTTTTACATAGGGACATGACATTCATAATTGAAAGAATTTAAAAAAAAAAAAAAAAAAAATAAGAAATTTAAAAATTATCTGTAAAATATAATCTATATTTGTTTGAATTTTATTTATTTTAAAATTTAAAATAAATACACTCAACTGCAAAATTATTACAGAACTTTCAGAAAAAAAATGTCTATGTTAATACTACTATTAAATTTGTAATTTAACTTGGAATAAGTAACAGCAAATAATCTAAGTGTATCTACTTCATTCAATTTCTGTCCTTTAAAATAGAAAATAGAAATTTCGGATTTATTATTTAAATAGATAATATTTTATTGGATTTTATTTCAAACTTATATGTATGTAAAGAAATCTAAATACTATTAAGCAATCAGAACTCAAAATTTATCATAAACTTTTAAGCTTAATTAATTTAAAATTAGTTCAATAGTATAGTTAAATAAAATATATTATTATTTTTTAAAACAACTTATACCATCATAATATATTAGATAATTAATATTTTTTTCTTTTTTTATAATCATAAATTTAAACTGAATATGACTTTCTATAACTCTAATGTTTGTGTGTTAACATAATTATTTTAAATACATACAGTTTGTTGATAATTTAATCAATAACTAATAAAAAATATATAAATATAATCATTTAATATATTATTAAGTTTAATTTTTTGGTATTTCAATTTAACAGGTTTATACTTTAAATCAAAGTGATTTGATTGAATTACTAATGATATTGTATATATGTGTAATGTGTATACACCATTTTTTTTTCTTCTACTACAAATTGTCAGTACATGTTGTAACTAATAAATAAAATGTACAATATTTTATTTTATTATTTAAAGGTTTACAAATGACTATGCATTTTTAGTAGATATGAATTATTTTTTTAAGTGCATATTATATGTACTGTAAAACAAAGTATAATGGTGATTTAATGCTCTGACGTATTTACTTGACAACTTCAGTGAAATCTCTTTTTTAACTTTTCATGCCGTTAGTAAAACAAATGTACTTAATGTCATTAAGCTCATTATTATTGTGTACGATACAATAGTATAATAATCATAGTATTAAAATCATTGTTATTTTTTATTTTAAGTTTTGCAAGTAATATGCAACCAACATATTATACACAGTAAAACCTGTCTATAATTTAAAACTGTTTATAATAGAAAATGTATCGATCCCAAGTGATTTAGTTACTGAGAGGTTTTACAGTACTTTTATCACAAATACCGCTGATTTAATGATATACAATAGAAGTATTGTACACGAAAGTGGTTATTATTTAACATGTGGACGGTAACTGTTAGGTTTCTTATTATGAAAACTATTATATTTTTTTTTTTTTGAGATAAGTAACTGATTTCATTCAATGTTAAATTCTCAGTAAAAGAAAAGTCTATCACATGATAAGGCTCCATATAATATTACGTGGGTTTAAAAGGTGTAATTGTATTTGTTGGGAGGCGTTTCGAGAATGTTAACTACGTTTAATTCATAAGATACATTATCGTTTGTAATTTAATATTTCCATTGACGCGTACCATGACGATATGCAACCATGTACAATACCTAACTTGATCAGACTTGTCACATTTCACCTATGTGTATGTGTATTGTTTAATCTAATCTAATAGAATCATATTATATATTTGACTGTGGTTTCAGATATCATGGGTTCGCCGCAGGGATTGGCACATCTTGACTTCGGGCATGTTCACATACACAAATGACGAGAGGTTTACCGTGTTGCATGCTGAAGGTTCGGATGATTGGACACTGAAAATAAAATACGTGCAGAAAAGAGACAACGGCACGTATGAGTGTCAGGTGAGTAAAAACTACTTGTTGATTACCCATTTTTGCTATATATATCGTAGGGTCAAACACAACTACCACTAATGTGGTTCGTCTAGAGGGAAGGTAAGAGACCAATAAATGCGATTTTTATATTAGCGCCTTATTTTTTTTAGCAATATTGAATAACTATTGACGGAATACTTGGAAAATATAAAGTATACATTTTATAAACTGTGAAAAAAATATATATATATATATCAGTAAATGGTATAAAAATGATCATGGTGAGATTTTTTTAAAATTATTATATAATAATATGTGTCTGGATAGTTCTAGAAACTTTATTTTTCTTTGTTTAAAAAACAAAAAGTTTCCATCATGTGCTAAGTAAGCTAAATAAGTGCAACATACTTTTCTAATTGTTGTTCTTTTCTTTTTTTTTTTTTCAACAATTTTACGGAGTTATGTTCAATGTTTTTTTTATTCTTATAGTTTTACGGTTAATGTCATCCCATAAAACTTTTAAGACCAAAGTTATTTCCTAAGAAAATTGTTTGTAAACAATTATAAGAAATAAATTAAAAAATAAATACAATATTGAACAAAAGACACAATTTAGCCATAATGTACTACAGTATATTTATGAATATACAATTGATTGACAATTCATTGAAACATATTATATTAAAAACTGATTGGAGAATAAATAGCAAATTTAAATTTAAAATATTTCAACTATATATTAAAATTATAATTGTCTAAAAATGTATGATAAATCAAACTGATATATAAATTCTAATTTAATATAATTTTGAATAATCTTGCTGTAAAAAAAAAAAAATATATAATCAAGTACAATGTTAAAATATTCTGGCATACAAAAAGTGAATAAAAAAAAAAAAAAAAATGTAAGTTTATGTAGAACCATTAAATAAAGAATTTATGCTTTTATACAGACCAAATTGTGTATTCAATCAAAAATATAAATAATTAAAATTTCAATTAGAAGACAAGTGGAGACAAGTGTAAAATGAAGAAAATTATTTTGTGTTTATTCAGATACTTAGAAACTTAGTTGATATTAAACATACTTGTTTATTTTTCATTATTATTATTATTATTATTATTATAACTTATTTGAATCAAATAAATTGGCATTTTTAGATTTGTAAATTTCCAAAAAATCAACTAATATTAATGTACCTATACAATATACATATTATAATGCATATACAAATAATATTACATCTATTTATAACTTTAAAAAAGTGAGCACTAATTTTTATAAATTTTACAAAACTCTATGAAATTGAGATCACTTTACTGTAAATCTTTGCACGATTACTTGTATTGATATTATAATATTTATGGTTTCCGGTGTGAACTGACTTTACGTTTTAACTTTTTGTTTTGAAATCTTGAAAATAAATCATTATGATTTGATTTTGATTTGATTGAAGTTATATTTTTATTAAAATTAACATTACATCATACGTTATAAAAAAAGTCTATAGTGAAATAGTAGTTAGTATTATATGAATATTGTAGTACATACTACCTAAATTAACGAATACGAATAAATCTTAATTTCAGATTGTATCCTTTACATAATTGCATCAGATATATTTTAGAACTATATTAATGTATACATTTTTGCATTTATAATTGTACGTTAATTATAAATACAATTATTATATTATAATATATACATATCTAAAGCTAATTTGAAACATGAAAGAAACCTCTATGATGTCAATGTAATTATATAATTATAAAAATATAATTTATAAATCCAAACACAAATTAATCGATTAAAAAAGTAATTTAAGTAATTACTATAGTATATAAGTATAGTAGCACATAACTAATATATTATAAATTATAAAAGTATAACTAAATGTATTAAAGTAAATTAACATGTCATATATATATAAAATAAAATAACTTATAAAAAATAAAAAATCCTTTATTAATAATTATCGTGATAATAATATTATGTAAGCATACTGCCAAATCAATATAATGAAATATATTTGTTATTGGGTATGAAAATAATGTGCAATAAAACAATACAATTTATATGCTTAAAAATAAAATTATAAAAACAATTAGATTTTCTAATATATTTGATAAAAAATTAAGGTAGCTGGATTATGTGTTCAACATATTATTGAGATAGAGCACTCAATATCACGTACCACACGTACTACATGGTTCAATAAATTAAGTACCTTAACATTATGGTTTTGTGTAAGCTTGTAAATTATTATTATATAAATGAAACCTCTCTTCTGTGTACATATATTATTAAAAGCCGCGTACATGTATGTGAATATTATAATGATTTGCTAAGTATACGGTTCGTGTTATACATTCATATTTTTATTTTTTTAATATAAACATAATAATATATAGTTATATTTACTCTGTATTTTATTTTTAACGTTCACGTCAAAACTAGAACAAATCATGCGTGAAAAGTATCAAGCACATTTAAAAGTTTTTCGTAGTTTCATGCACCAATGTGAAAAGATATTCTACTGCAGATAAAAATAAGGCTGGTTGTCGACGTAGTAGCGTTGGACAGGAAAATCGTTTGTGCGTGAACAAAGTTTTTTTTTTTTTTTTTATCAGATTTATAATGACAAAAATAGTAACACATTGTACGATTGATCAAGTGATTTAAATTTTTTACGTGACTAGTTTGATACAGGTTAATTTAAAATGCATATAAAGTTCATAACATTCTCATGAAAATCTATTTGAATGTAATGCTGATCGAGTTAACAAATTTGTTTAACTAATAAGTTATATTTAATTGTAGAAAATAGTAAGTTAACAGTTAACTAATATATTTTTTATGAATTTGTAAATTAAAAATGAATGAATCAAACAATTTACAAAGTTAAAATTAATTTAATTAAGATATACGATTTAACATTCTAATTTTTGGTAAAAAAATAACATATCTACTCAAATAGAAGAACAATTATAAAACTATCAAAATTCAAAACTATCAATCATTATAAATGTTGAAGCAATTAATTACTAAAACAAATATTTTATTTAATTAATTTGCATTTATATATATATATATATATATATATATATATTTCTATGCATATACATTAATTACTGTATTATAATTTTGCATTTACTGTATTACATTTTAAATAAAAGAGATATTTATATACATATATGTATTTTATAAATTTGACTAAAACAATTGTATAAACATATTAAATTTGATGATGAAAAAAATAATGAATTTGAACATATAAAGGGATAACAACATATTCTTTAATTCAATTTAATTTTAAACACGTTGATAATAAATACATTATCTTAAATTATATTTATATTAATGTAGCATTATTTTCTTATAATTTTTAAATAAAATATTTTACAATATCCAAACACCGTGTAAATATACTGCATAATAATCAAATCAATTAAATAGCTTAAAATATTTAATAGAATAATGAAATAATGTAATAAAATAAAATGATTAAGTGTTTTTTAATTTAAAATTTTACAAAATATTAGAGGTTAATTTTACGTATGTTTAAACAAAATTACTATAAAAATCAATATTTCAAAAACGATAGTTTAGTTCGAAATTTGATTCAATGAACTTAAAATTAAATAATATAATTAAAAATAATAAAAACATTATTTTTATAATTTATTTAATTATCCAATTTAATTTTTTATTTAAATATATTGATGTAAAATGGATTATTTATTATCTTAAAATTATTTTTTATAAATACCAAGTTAATAGTTAAACAATATATGATTTTATTAAAATAATTATGGATTTTTTTCGGATTTCATTAAAAATATAGCTATAAGAATTTTTGTTAAACATTTATCTGATATTAGTATTAAATTCAATTGTTGACGCAATTTTTATGATACTTTTTTGTTTTATTAGTATTCAACTAGTATGATATATTATGAAATAATCGATCGTATCTCAGAACTTGCTTAGACTGCGTTGAGTATTTGTTGTATATAACTAACTGAAAATACTAGAAATTGATTTTGCATTAGATATGTCCTAAAGAATTTAACTTACATTTTTTGGATTAATTACCTATTTATAAATAAATTCAATAAAAAAGTGTCGGTAAATGTTTTGGGCATCCTTAAATCAAAGGTTATTATCATATTATATTATATTATCTTAACTGATTTGAAAAAAATAAAACATATTAAATTATATTTTTTTTTAATTCTTATACTACTATGTTTTTAAGTTTGATCATATAATTCAGCTAAAAATAATAATATTATGACAGCATAAAAGCATAATATACGAATTTAAAATTTAATTCATATTTTAATAAACTAAACAAACTTAAAAAGTATATGCATATGTTTTTCTTAGTTAAATTATTGTTGAATGTACACAAGTTAAAAATATTAGGAATTTATTTTATTTTTTTACTAGAAAAAAACAAACGTCATAATCGTTAGTAAACATATGCGTGCACAATAAATTGTACTATTTAGAATGTCCATAATTTATGTGGTGAAGATTTTATATAATATAATAATTAATTTTAAAATTAATCATTATTAATATTGTTTTAATTTTGTCGTTGTTTTACAGTAAATACATTTGAGTAATTGATAAAAATTATGTGATTAGCATTTTATGATATGTTACAAACTTTCAAAACAATTAAATTTAATTCTTACACGATAAGTAAGTCCAATCATAAAATTTAATGTATTTGCAAATTCTAATTCTATTGTCCAGAAATATTTTGGAAATTAAAGCTAAGAACAGAAAATGAAGTACTTTTCTGCTACATATTAATGTACTTAAGCGACAAATAAAGGCAAATTTATTGAAAAACTTAAATCATATGAATGTTAATTTTTTTGGCAAGGAACCAAAAGATAAATGTATTTCAATTTAGTATAAAAGAGACTATTGTATATGTTGTTTTGATATTAAACTGTATTGTGGTCCCAGAGGATGTAGTATACTCTATAGCTTTTTACGTTTAAACGAAGAT